TTTTTTAGAATTATACTGTTTTTCTTCTAAATTCAAAAAAAAAAAAAAAAAAAAAAAAAAAAAAAGAATTCACTGAGTTTAGAGCACGTATTTACCGTGTCAAGAAAAAACGTTATTTTGGATGAAGTCTCTATTAACGTAAGATATTTAATGTTTTTTTTGTCTTTTCCATTACGAAGGTATACAGAGATCGATGTTTCGTGAGTGCTTCAAACTAGCAGAGCGTTAATGTCTCACAAACAACTTACTTGCACTTTTTTTTCTCTGCTCCAAGGGAACGAGAAAAGTATTCCAAGAACATGTAGATAAACGGAAAATGAAGTTTAACGTTTATAATGATAGACGTGATACTTGTGAATATTACACAAACGGCCACTCTCGGAAGAAATTTTGTTATTACACCGGCGTTTCGATAGATCTCGCCGATTCGACTTCTCTCGTAGCTTCGCGCGTTTTCAGGTATGAATGAAAGTTATTAAAATAATAAGAACAACAAAAACAACAAGCGAACAACCAGCACGATTATATCGTCATTTTGCGTTGTCGCGCGATATAAGATTTTTTTCTTTTTCTCTAATAAGAATTTGTTTTTTTAATAATGAGTCGTTTATTAACGTGACGCCTCACGACGCGATTCCCCCTTTTTCCTTTTTTTTTTCCTCTCAATATTGTATACATTTGAGAATATCGATAATTGCGGTTTCTCAATATAATATAATATACCTTCATAAAATACGGTCAAATTACTGCCGTGAGCAGCAGCAATTCCGAGGCACTACAAACAGGCCACAGAGAATATGGCCGCACAATTATCATCTTCAAATCTCTGTGTGTCTAAAATGACAAAAAGACTAACTGTAGAACACTTAAATACGTACGTAATTGTTAATTATACTAACGCTTCCTTGTTGTCTAAGTTTAGAGTCATTACGTAGTATACACTAATTAGAGAGATCACACGTCTTAATATAGAAATTTCCGAAGATTATTCTCTAATACGTTGAAATCATCTTTTTTTCCTCCCTTTTTCTCTCTCTATCTCTTCTCGCCGTTTTTCTTTTGCTTTGCCTTGCCTTTTTATTTAAGTATTGCCACAAAGTGTTTTCCGTTTTTCTTGTTTGTTTTTATCGTTTAAAGGTGACGATGATAATTCTCCGAGATATATGTAAGCGGATCACGTACGAATGCGATCCTTCAAAGTCTTTCCTTTTACTTTGAGCTATGCTATCGTCTACGCTAGTTTAAACGCTAACTTCTCGGTGTATCAGCCTTCTTCCACGTTCCCCCCTTTCCTTATTTTCCTTTTCGTACTCTCGCTTATCTAATCTGTTTTTTTCTTATCAGCACCAATCTGATTTTTAAAACCGATTCAAAATATCGTCATATAGTGTTATAATATAATTAATATATATATATAACTTGTCGTATATATAAATATACATTCAAATATTACTTACTATAGTATACAAGAGTTGCACCGATCCCCCTTCCTTTTCTTCGCGCTATCGCAATACATCATTGTCGTTCTTTACATCGTTCCTATATCGAAAGCTATGGCTCAACACAGTGGGAGGATACGTTTCGTCTTTATAAATTCTAATCTATAATCTCTCGCGTATCTCTATATTCGTCCTCTTTCCGCTCGTTTTATCTTCACTTTCTCTTTTTTCTCTCTTCCTACACCTTTCTTTTACCCTCCCGATTAGTCGTATTAATTTTTTTTTTGTCTCATTCGTACACATTATTCGCACGCGCATAATTTCACCTTTCTCCGTTCTCATTTTCTTTTTTGTTCTTCTTCTTCGTGAACGTATAAGAACGAGAACAGATTTATATATTTACATAAATTTTTTTCTTCTCGTGGTCGTGAAGAGCGCTTTCTTGAAGAAACGCGTCATTCTCTCATTCTCTCATTCTCTCTTTTTCTTTCTCTCTCTCAATCCTCTTTCTCTCTCCCGCGAAATTTTTAAAACATAGGCAAGTTAAATATTGTATCACAATCGTTTTAGTCTGGTCAAAATCGAACATCTTCGACCCGTTTGGCGATACATGGCGTCATTTTGAATATGAGTGGCGGCGCCTCAGTGGCACGTACACCATCCCGCGAGAGAAAAATCGGGCGGATTCGAAAAAGCAAATGCGCGAAAAATTCTCGTCACATTTTTTTTCGAATTCGCCTTGCGTTACGCGGATCGAGTCCCAGACTATTTTGTGTGCCATTTGCTTGTCCACAAAGAAAAGAAAAGATAGATCATAATCGATCAATTAAACAAAAAAATAGAATATGCATAGAGAAATAGACAAGACTCTTTGTTGGTTACTTTACCTTGGTCTGGCTAGTGAGAAACTCGACGGTAGACGGCGGTAACTTTTCCGAGCTTTTTCGTTTCCCTCTTCTCTTCCGCACAGAGTTAACGACTGGGAAACGAATCGCGCAATAGGTGAATATATTTACGTGTATTTAATATTACAGATCATTAATTCTGTAAACTTTTGGAAATTAATAAAATCCGATGCACTGCACTATATCACGAAGAAATATTGCATTACGTACACCATGGCGAAGATAATGTGTGTGTGTGCGTTGCAAACCTCAGGTAGATATAAATCACTGAGTGACATCTACGTTTAGTTGCAATGTAACGACAGTAATAATCCAAATTAGGACAATGAATATATTACTGAGTAAAAAGATATTTATTCATGCATCTTCATGTCCTGAAAGTGGCACTATGAAGAGAATAAAAAAAAAAAAAAGAGAAAAGATAAAAATTCTTTATCTTTTAGATAAATATTTTAAAAACGATCACTTATAGAAACGAAGCAATATCGCAGACGATGAACATCTGCGATGTTTCTTAGACGTTTCACAAGAAGACCGCCGTTCTCACCGTCGAGCTCGGGACTAACTGGCGACGCGTTCCGAGGCTCTGATTAAATGGAACAAGAAGAGCGAGCGAGTTATAAAAATTGGTTGAAAATTAAAAAGAAAAAACTAGTAAATGCATAATGATAAATGTCACGGGTAGTGTTGTTGAATCGGCTGCTGCTGCTGCTGCCCGCATCGAGACGCAGCGGCGGCGGCTGCGGCAGCGGCAGCGGCGATGGCGTTCGACGTTGCGTCGGCGCTCTCCAACGCGGCGGCGGGACCGAAACAGCGCTGAAACCTTAGCGCGGGAATTCCTGCTTGCTAATAGGCGGCAGGATGGACGGTTAGTCACTGCGGCGGCAGGCCGGTCGGCGGCTTGAATTCGCCGCTCACGGACACGCCGTTCGCCTGAGCGCCGGGAAATTGAGCGGTGGAGACCGGCGGCTGATGGTTGAACGCGGGCGCATAGCACTGCGGGAAGTACAGTTCTGGCTTAACAACTGTGGGAGTGAGGCCCCGCGGAACTGGCACTGGACCCAGACCCGCGGGTGTGCCGGGCGGCTTCGTGTCGCTGCTCGAATTTCGGCGCACTTTCGCTGCGTGCGGGTTCATATGGTTGTCGATGTGCTTTTTCACCTCGGGCTCGGTCGCGAAACGCCGTCTGCAGTTAGGCATCGGGCAACAGAACGGCCGATCGCCCTGGTGAGTACGCGTGTGCTGGTCCAGGATCGCCTTCTGACGGAAGTCTTTGCCGCACTGCTGGCACTTGTACGGTTTTTCGCCGGTGTGGATACGCAGATGCTGATTGAGGATCGTGCGCTGGCGGAAGTTGCGACCGCAATACACACAACCGTACGGCTTCTCGTTTGTGTGGATGCGCAAGTGCTGCGTAAGGTGGGACTGTTGTCGGAACCTCTTGCCGCACTCCGGACACGGGTACGGTCGCGATTCGATGTGTATGCAACCATGTTGCAATAACGTAGACTTCTGCTTGAACTCCTTCTGGCAAATCGGGCAGCGCACGTACAACGGCATACCGGCCGAGCGGCCGTGCTGTATCACGTCGGGCAGACAGCTCTTCGTGCCACTCTGCTGCTTGATGTACTGCAGAGCGCCGAAACTGCCCGAACTACCTCCACCGAAGACCGCGTGATTACCGCCTTTCGGGTCTTTGAAGTAAGCGGGGTATTGGATGGAATTGGCGTCCGGTGCCGGACTGAACGCGCCCGATTGCGTGTCCGTGTCGCCGAACGTCGATGCCACCTCCTCCTTACCCTCCTCGGGTGGAAAGGGAACATCTTGCGGCCACAGGGTGGGCGTCATTCCGTTCTTGAAGATAAGGTGCGGGCTCACGTCTGTAACGAGAGAACGATCTACGTTCATCAGTTGTATTCCACCGCGGATGAATAAAAGGAACGTTAGTAGCCCGGATTACGGTTCAACAACGGAAGCAAGATGTAGCTACTTGTCAATTGTATCGCGAGTCAAACGTTCCTGGGAACGTTTGTCCGAATTCAGTAAACACCTTTCGGCAGTAAAACGTCCAAAAGACATTCCATTTTGTCAAATAGTTGCACGTCTTCTGGCTGATCAAGAAACTATCATGATCCAAATTTATCACGAGGTTTTCATTTTGTTAGTGATAGTAGGTATAAAAGAAGAAACGCCATAGTCATCACTTTGTAATAGATTTACTTTAATAGAAGAAAAACACGCGAGAAATTAAAGTTACTAGAAAACAGTCGAGTTAGATGGGTAATAATTTGTATCATATAGATAGGGAATCTAAGGGTAGGAATCAACAGTCTTATCTATTTCACAACTCATCAGCGCACTCGCATTCAGCTGAACCTTGTTATTTAGTTGGTCTAAGTGACAAGTCCGATAGTAGCGATGCTTGTATCTGATGAATCCTCACTATTCTCTTTTCCAACAACGCGGTTTAATAGGTTGGTGAGGGATGTGTGTGAACCAGTGGTGAATTTATTTCGATTACTTAAAGATTATTCAGATACGTTTTAAAACTCGACATCTTATCGATGTATTCGGTTTCTGGTGCAAATCCGCCACTGATATAGGATAGGTGGAGATGAATCGAGATGAGTTGTTAGTGATGCGGGTTATTGTACCACCGGTGGTAACTTTGACGACGATGAGTAGTAATGATATTGATGGTAACGGTGACGACGGTGGTTGCGATAGTAACAAGTGAGAACCAGAGGTTGGATTAATCAGTGTGTGATTGTAATGGACACCGTTTGGGGAAGTCTGGGAGGCAGAGAGAAATGCTCGCCTTGGTGTGTGCGGACGTGCTGATTCAGGATCGCCTTCTGACGGAAGTGTTTTCCGCACTCCGGACATTGGTATGGCTTCTCACCCGAGTGGATGCGCAGATGCTGGTTGAGGATGGCACGCTGCCGGAACGTACGCTCGCAGTACACGCAAGCGTACGGCTTCTCGTTAGCGTGTATGCGTAGATGTTGCGTGAGATGAGATTGTTGCCGGAACCGCTTGCCACACTCCGGACATCCGTACGGCCGACTATCCGTGTGGATCCGCTCGTGCTGCAGCAGAGTCGATTTCTGCTTAAAATCTTTGCCGCAAGTTAAACACTTGAACAGACGTAGATCGCTGTTGCCGCTCTTCGACGACTTGCCGCTCTGTTGCACAATGTCAGGCAGCCCAGTCGCCATGTTCGGCGCCCCCGGGCTAGCGTACTGATGCGCATCCAGACTAGGTCCACCGTCACCCTGGCCGAGAGACGTCAGCATCACTCCGGGTTGCTTGAGATAGTGCAACGCGGAAAAGCCGCCTGGGGTGAGCATGTGGGGCGGAACAGATGGTGAAGGATGCGGCCGAGCCTCCTTGAAATAATGTTGCGGATACTGTTGCAGTTCTCCGGTGCCGGGGAAACAGTCGTTACGATCTACTTCCGCGTGTGAGGTCAGTTGTTGCTGCGGTGAGTGATCTTGCTGTTGCGTCTGTTGTTGCTGCTGTTGCTGAGGTTGCTGCTGTTGAACTTGTTGCTGCTGCTGCTGCTGTTGTACCTGCTGTTGCGTTTGTTGTTGCTGCTGCTGTTGTTGTTGTTGCTGTTGTTGTTGCTGCTGTTGAGATGTAGCCTGACTTGATTGTATGTCGTCATCTGGTGGTGTCAAGGACTGAGGCTCGGGAGGCGCCGACGGATAAGGCGAGGGCACGGGCGAGGCTAACGAGGGCGGGGGACCGCTTTCTCCACCCTCGACTGGAGGACCACAGGCCTGCTGTGGACTTCCCGACGAGGAGGAACCCTGTTGTTGCGGCTGTTGTTGTTGCTGTTGCGGATATAATCCGCCATCCTGGAGAGATCCCGGTCCCGGACCCCACTGACCTTGGGGTCTCTCCATGTTATCTTTGTACAGTACGTAGGGCGCGCCAGTATCTATAAACAGACAATGCAGAACAAGATTCACGATCAGGATATTGTTTACATCCAAATAGTATTTTATTACTTATTAGAGTATTACTAGTTTTTGGTTTTGTTTAAATTCTAAGTTGTAAAACCATACAACAATTAAGATTAAAATTGAAGATTGAAATTTGCGAAGTACGTTAAAAATGCTTGAAGCTAAAATAATAACAAGAAATACTTATTCTGTGTATTGTTTTCAAGAATCTTAAACATATATTCTATTATATTATTTCGTGTGAAAGTCAATCATTTGCTTCGCGTAAATATCTCTAAGTTAAAATCAAGAAAAACATATGAATAAACAGGCTGCACTTGTATCAACAAAGATCGGAAATCTTGTTAGAAATTGTACAAATGTACACTGATAAAAAAGAGTGAGCAAAATGAATACGTATAATTACCGAGGTAAAATATATAAAAACGAGAGAATTATAAATAGAACAATTGCATAACGTCAGACAAAAATATATCGCGAACGGAACACTCTTATTAGAGTTGTCTTATTAATCAGAAACTATATCGAACTGATCACTATCAAGAACAAATTTAATAAAATAAGCTATATGCGTTACTTTGTCATAAAAACATAAGATTTTTCTTTCGTCGCGTGATATTCCATATTTGACCAAGTCACTCGTTGCTAATATCATTGATTCTTCGAAAAAAACACGAGCACAAGACTGCACTTCGGCGAGAGAGTCTTCACGATTTGTTTTGGCGGCGAGAAACACATAAAGCAAAACCGAGAGAGAAACTGTAGCACATTGACGGCGGAAAGAAGAAAAGAGAAGAGAGAAGAGAGAGAGAGAGAGAGAGAGAGAGAGAGAGAGANAGAGAGAAGAGAGAGAGAGAGAGAGAGAGAGAGAGAGAGAGAGAAAGAGAGAGAGAGAGAAAGAGAGAGAGAGAGAGGAAGCAAGAGGAGAAATGGCTGGTGGCTGCACATGCGTACTTTTTTCGTTTTAATGCTAGCATTTTTAAAGATTTTTCCTACTCTCCTCTAGCTCTCTCTCTCTTTTTTTTCTCTCTCTCTCTCTCTCTCTTTCTCTTTTTCTCTCTCTTTCTCTCTGCAGCGGCTCGCAGATTCGAGTTGTCTGAGGTAGACCCCTGTTGATTCTCACCTGTCTGCGACAGAAATCATGTGCACGGTTTTAGCTGCGACCGATCAAAAAACCTACCTCACGAGAATTCAAAACCGGTATAAATTTCGATGAGATCAATTTTCTGTGCAGTAAAAAAAAGGAATAAACGTCGGAATGTGTCATTTGTTGCGAAGTTACAAATGTAAACACTTTTTTTCTGATTTTTACGACATGAATCTCAAATCTCGAATGAGTTTTCAAGGCCGCATTATATGTCTGCTACGCACAAAATAAATATATACACAATTGAACACTAGATCAAGAATAATGAGTATTGGTCGTATTTTTGGCAAATCTCAGAGACTCGATTTTTATTCGATTTTTCATCGCCTCTCTTACATGTTGATAACAATTAAAATTAATGATCGTTACCACGACAATGTAAAAACAAATAAAGCGACAGAGAATCAAATTACAAGATTAACGTTAATAATGAGACTAAAAACATGCTCTAACAGTTTTAATCATTATAATATTTCCTTCAGCCACAATATATTATTCAAGAAGTAATTGTTTCATGAGTATCAATAGAGAGATATATACAGACTAGAACCGATTAGACTTTTGTAATAACTTATATACAACAAAAGAACATTAACAAAGAAAACTGAGACTGTCCACGATTTATTATAGCAAAATCGCGAAATAAGTAGAACGTCTTTAGCTGAAAGTACACACTTAATTGAAAGCAGCTCGTAGGCTCAAAGTGAAGAGCATACTTTGCACAAAGAAGCACGTGCTTAAAGTGCAACTCGTTTGAGTTATCTCGCGCAAAACCTCGTATTTTTTCCGTTTCTTCAATTTTTTGAAGTCTCAGTCTGGATTTCTTCATTTTCAGACACGCAAAATATATCTCTTCATGATTTTTTTTTAACAAACTATATTGCGATCTCGCATTGCGATTGTTTAATTATAATCATTTGTACGAGCAAACATTACTATTTATCGAATGTCGGAGAAAATATCCCCCCTATGCGGCCTATATTTCCTATCGAACTGTTCAAAGGACCTCCCTTGTATGAAGAGGAGGAAGGGTGAGGGCGAGGGTGGCAAAAAAACGAAACGAGGATGCAACAAAAACATAACTTTTCGCGATGGCGCTACGAAGAGTGCTCTAGAAACGAGTGGGTCCTTTTCTAGTGTTCTATTGGCGTTATTCAGCTCGTCAGATCGAATGTTTATTTTCAGAAAAATAGACAGAAACGAAACACCTGACCGCTCGCGCTGTTAGCTCGAGAGTGTAGTGCACGCATTGACGAAGTCGAAACGTCGGAATAGATTTTTTTTCTTTCGCTATTGTTACCGCGATATTTTTGACGGATGCTCGAATGCGTTCTCGAGTACACGAGCGCTCCGTGTGCGCGCGCGCGAGAGGGTGTGTATTATTTTTTTTACTTTATAAAACAATTCACACCGTATTTACATCCCGACGACTATCGCGTGGATTTGCATACGCAAATAGTACGCGCATAACGCGCGTGAAAAACCGGCGCGCCCTGTCATTATCGAGAAATCTGATTACTATTCAATCAGAAACATTTTGTGTATTTATTCTAGTTCATATCGTTATATGCTCTCTCTTTTCTCTCTCTCTCTCTCTCTCTCTCTCTCACACACACACACACACACACACACACACACACAACGCGTGCGCGCATTGCCGTGATAGCAATTGCTTAACAGAAAGTTAAAACAGATGATCACGCGAATTCGCTGCAATTTGTGTATATTTATTTATTTATTTACGTACACACAATTTCGGAAATCCCAGTAATACGATAAGACCAGCAAAAATAAAGGGCCAAACTTTTACAGAAAAAAATTTTAACAACACTGATACGAATTTGAAAAAAAAAAAAAAAATTATTTTATTCTCTAACCGTGTTAGAGAGCGAAATTGTATTGTAGAAGTACCGTGTTATACGAGGAATACCTATGCAATTAATAAAGTCAATTGTTAAAAGTAAGTTAATCAAAAGTTTGTATATAATTTAAAAGAAATTTTGTGTGCGTAAGATATTCTAGCAAATATACATTATTAGTTTTCCATATGCGCAACAAAAACGAGTTCCAATTATATTTTGTAGATATATTTACTAAATATTTATTATACACACTCTCTCTCTCTCTTTCTCTTCCTCTTTTTTATCATCAAAAGATAAACGATAAACTCGCCGAAACGTTTATTTTCCCAAATACACGCGTAACGTGTCTGTAAACCCTTTTTTCCAAATGACTCATCTCATTCGCAATTAGCATCACGGAGTTTCCGATGTTACAATATAATCTCATTTGTCACAATATACTCTTTCTCCTGCGATCATATATTATTACCTCATATATTACGCATCGCAATTGAAAATTTGTGTTGAAAAACTTCACGTAATTAAATACCTTCAGCTCGAATCTTTGAATCTAACATTAAATTTTTCGGGATCTTTAGTGCTTTAAGTGAGATAGGTATTCAAACAGTTTGAGCAGTTAAACTGTTTAAAGAACTGTTCCGAGTTTGCGTCGATCTCCAGTCTCTACAATATCCATTGTACAAGCCGTTTATTGCTCATTTAATGGAAGTTGAAGTTACTTAAAGTTTTAAAACAAAACTATACATACACACCTTTATAATTTTGCCATTTTTTTGTGGCAACAGATGTGACTCAAAACTTTGTTGTTATTATTAATTATTATTAACGTTCATAGCTTCGTGTATCTGTATAATTTTGCTCTTCTTAGATTTAAATAGCATTACGTGTTTAGTATAAATCCATCAATCAGTTAGTCATGCATTTTGATAAACGGATATGCCGTACAAAGTATGTTTAAAGTTGTAGGTGTGAAATAATAATAAAATTATTGATTCGTGCAAAAAGTGCTGAGACATAATATAGTGATTGTTTTTGATTATAAATGTGATTCTCCGTAACGTAACGTCGGGATGTATCGCATAATTTTGCGATATTTAACCGATTATTGAAACAATATGACAATTAGCATCGGCGTGATTGTAATTTATCGCAATTTGTATCTTCTTTAATAATGATGTGATTTAAACATGAGCTCATTTCAAGTTCATCGTCATTATCGATCTAATGTTTATCTCATAACGAAATATGTCGCGTCGTTTCAGTGTGGCTGCTTAAACTTTTTGACGATTTTTGTGTTTTGAATTAAAAGATTGTGTGTGTGTGCTAAAACAAATTAAGATAGAAAATGTGTTTTTACAATTATAGTTGTATCTGTTTCTTTTAATATTCCCCCTAAGAATTGAAATTTTAATAAAGATGAGATAATATAAATAACAGAGAGAGAGAGAGAGAGAGAGAGAGAGAGAGAGAGAGAGAGAGAGAGAGATAAAGAAAGAATAAAAATCACGCATACAGTTAGGCTTTTATATAGTTCGTAAAAACCATTATAATAAAAAATAACTAAAACACATTATTACAATAAAGTAGCAATAATTTGTAATAAAATTTAGGGAAAAATAAGGAAAAAAACACTAGAGGGAGCAAATTTCTGAAAAAAAAAAAATCGATCTTCTGTATTCGTCACACTTGTTTCTGTCATCAGCTGTCCCCAGTTGTCATTTGCTCTCTCGGCTGGAACCCCTATCGTTGTTGCGGGACGTTGTGTTCGCTCATGATTGTCGGTGTTGTGTTTCTCGGTCACAAAGGACACGATCGCGAGAGACCTCGGCCAACGACGTTCACCTTGACCAGGCAATAGCGTGTCTAGATCGGTATAGATCAAGACTGTGCATCTCTCTCTCTCTCCTTCTCTCTTTCTCTTTTTCTCTCTCTTTATACAAGTATGGTTAGTCGAATAAAATTAATGTAAGTAGATTAACTCCTTGAATATTTAAAATTATCATATTTGGATTATTTCCCTCGAGATAAATTGCCAACAATATAAATTTAGCAAAAGAGAAGTCACAAAAAAGACATTTAACGCGTAGGTGGCTCGAAAAGTGTGTTATCGTTCACACATTTCGTCATCTTGCTCGCCGCGATAATTCGTAGACTGATTAGATGACCCAACAGACAGATATTACGCGATTCAGTCTTGCGTATCTTCACTTATTGCTCTTCTTCTTTCGATGCCGTTTTTGTTCTTATTCAAAACGAGTACTTTATGAACTGTAATAATTTATTATACATACTTTGAACATCATTAACATACAAAATTGAGTGTGAAACTGTAATGTTATTAACTACATCTGAAGCATTGATGAAAATTCAAAAGTGATTTGTTACACATGTTACACAGTAGTTGAAATGAGTTTGAAACTCAATTTTGAAAGCAACAATCGTTATAATAACAAATTTAATTATACCTATATGTTGTGAATATAAAATTTATAATAATATGATTAAGTGCAATAATCAAACTGTGTTTATTGTCACAATTGGTAAGTAAAGAAGATGGTTGTTCTATAAATAGTTAATTGTTTATTTTCGATTTACTTCGTCCGTATATTAAATTACCGTTTTTACATGTGCAAATTTAAATATGAATTAATTAATTTATATATATGAAAATGTAAACATTTTATTTATGTAGTATAAATATTACACATGTAGATTTATTCTCTACAGCGAAGTCAATTGAATTGAGACATGGTGTAAAGTGCCGCGAGTACTCGACATAATATTCGAGGTCACTTTTCCTGAAAATCGCAGTAGCGGTAGTAGTAGTCGGTAAAACTCTCTTCTCACAAATTCCATAACAATGTATTATTTGAAAATCCACTTTTACAGTTTGAGCTTTTTCACAAGGTTTTTGTGTATATTATTAAACTCGATTATATAAACCGGTCTACGTGCTTACTGTTTTTTCTTAATTTAATTTGATTTTTTTGTTCTGATTTTCGTTGTTTAATTTTATTCATACCGATCGCATTATATTACTTATCGTTTTCAGTTTTATTGTATTCCGTTTAATATCTTTGCTTTATCATTTTGCGTCTCTCTTGCGCCGCGATATTCTTGAGAAGGGTCTGCAAAATACACACTTCTCTTTCTCTGTGTTCTTTTTCCACGTTCTTACAATTAGTCGTATAAGCCACAGTAACACGCGACTTTTCCCTCTTTATTTGTAACCGTACAAGAAGTTTTATATATCAACACGCGGTGACCGATGGACAATGCATTCTCTAAGTCTCTCCCTTCTGACTCATCCTACACATTTTGCTCCCCCTTCTTTCTCTCTCTCTCTCTCTCTCTCTCTCTCTGTATCTCTCTCTCTCTCTCTCTCTCTCACGCACACACACACACACACACACATTCGCTCACTCTCTATTTCTCTTTTTCTCTCGGTTTCTCAACGTTAAACACTGTCTCATCCGATCGAGTTCGTCGAGTCTGACCGACCGCAAACACACGCGAGTTTCGTGCGGGACACGTGTCAGCGGCTGGTTAATCGCGCAGTCGGGAAGAGTACTTTTCTGCGAGCAGTATAGTCACCGGTGACGCGTTATAATTTATTCGTGTAACTGTCTAGCACGCATACGTGCACGCATGTAAGGTAAGAGAAAACAAAAGAAAAAATAAGAGAAAAGGAGAAAAAAATAGTGAATGAAAATCCGCAACAAAAAATTAAGACAAAAGTGTAAGTAAGCTTGATTCTCTCTATAAAATGCAAATATACGTACGAAGTCTGTTTATTTGATTACCACGAGTCTGTTGTCATATGCATAATATAAAATGTATGCGTGTGTGGTATATTATACAATCCTTACATGTATATCGTTACTATTTTTTGTCACAATGAATCGTACCGAAGTTTTGCACGTAATATCGGAGAGCAAATTAAAATCATCGAAATTATCATCGACGTTTTTATTCGATTTTTCCGAGCGAGATATTGGGATATTCGCGCGCACAAATATAGCACGCGAAGGCGGGAACGACGGCGGGAAAATTTGAAATCGCACGGCGCGATGCGCACGATGGTTCGATAAAAGATGATGAGAGATAGAGATGAGACTACCAGCGTTTTGTCGCGAGCTCCGAGAACGAAGTTCGCCAAAAAAAAAAGAAAGAGTGTGACAAGCGACAGAAACCGAGAGGGGGAATCGGAGCCTATGGGGTGATTGTACGAACGGACACGCGCGCGCGTTATCGCGCACTCCGCGCTGATAAATCCCCGTTGCTTACGGAACGCGCGTAACTCATGTGCGCGTTTCTTTTTTCGGTAAACGCGCGTATATATCGCACGCACTTAAGTGTGCGCGTGTGTATATACATGTGTGTGGGTGTGCACTCTCTCAGGTACTCACCGGAGTTGTAATACTCCTTAAAGTAGCGCGTCGCCGCGCGCTGGACGATCGAGTAATATAAGTTCACGTACGACGTTGACTGGTTCTGCGCCGAGAGCGCCATTTACACTGTATTATCTCCGCGCGCGGGTCACCGTGTATGCATATAAATATGTGATATTGTACGTGTATGTGTTTTCACGCGCGCGTACGCGACGGATCACGGCGCGCGTGTAGTGCGATATAGTAAAGCGCGGCACAGCAACGTGCGAGCGCGCGGCGCCCGTCTCGTCGGCTTGTTCCTCCTCTTCCTACGTCTACCGCGCGGCGACGATGCGTCCACCTCCTTCTTTTTCTCTTCTTCTCTCTGCTGTTGCTACTGTTTCTCCACCTTTTTCTCCTCCTTCTCCACCTCCTCCTCCTCGGTATTCCACTACTTTCCTCGTCGTCGTCGTTGTTGCCGTCGCCGTCGTCCTTGTCGTCGTCGTCGCCGTCGTCGTCGCCGTTGCTGTCGCCGTCGCCGTCGTCGTCGTTGTCGTTGTCGTCGTCACCGTCACTGTCACCGTTGTTGTCACCGTCCTCGTCGTCGTCGTCGTCGTCGTTGTCGTCAATCTTCTCTAAATCCACGACCGTGAAACTTTTGTTATCGTTTGCGCGCCGTCCCTCGTGCGTTCCTGTACGGCCTTCAGGAAGAAGTGAGACAGTCTCGCATGCCGAAAAACGGCCGGCGACTTTAATCTTCGCCACACTCGCTTTCGGGTTACGCGCGCGCCGGTAGACACAATCTCGGTAGACTCGGCCTGAGCCCCCCCGAGTAACTCGCCAAGACCGAGACACTGGCGAGTGCTCTGCGGCGTTGCCACACTTCCGTCGCCGCGGTGTACGCGCGACCAGAGAGGGGATCTCTGGACTGGTTCGGATTTGGGATGGTAGAGAACATGGGGAGAGAGAACGCGAAAGAGGAGAAGGTGCCGCGGAACGAGCGGTGGCGGCAGCAGC